GCATTTGCAACCATGTGAAAACAGGGGGTGCTGCAGCCCCCTCAGCACCCCTACTTCCCGTGTCCCTGGATTTGAGACTTTAGTCTTTGCAACTTTACAGATCTTCTTTATGCACCAAGAGCTTGTAACACTCTAAAGAGAAAGGAAAAATTGAAATCGCATCATATGACCCCTTTAATCAAATGCCTATGGAGAAAATGAATTGGGGAAAATACTTGAAATATAGTACTTAAATACTTAAAATACAGAATCAAGACTGTTGAATGAGCGGGCATTCACTTTTGGACTCCCTTGAGCCATGCAAATTGTGTTCCGTTCTAATTTGTGAGTGTTTTCTGTTACCATTCAGAGTCAGGTGCTAAAACAATGCAGACAACACATGCGAATAGAAATTGCTGTATTATTTATGGACTATTTTAGTAACCATGTAAAGCGATTTGAGTACCCAGAAAAGTGCTATACAGTGCTGCTTTAAAGTTTGTGAACCCTTTAGAATTGTCTATATTCTGCATAAATATAACCCAAAAAATCATCAGATTTTCATGCAAGTCCTGAAAGTTGAAAAAGAGACCCAATCAAACAAATTAGATGAAAATATATACTTTGTCATTTATTTATTCAGGAAAATTATCCAATATTACATATCTGTGAGCGGCAAAAGTATGTGAATCTCTAGGATTAGCTGTTAATTTGAAGGTGAAATTAGAGTCCATCTGTTCAGAGGTGTTTTTAATCAGTGAGATGACTATCAGGGGTGTATTCCAGAAAGGAGATTCAACAAACTCTGAGTTAGCCTTAAACTTGAACTCTGAGTTGACTTACCCTGAGATGGGAAAATCTGAGTTTTCAGTTTCAGAACAGCTGAACAGAGTTAGTTCAATCCACTCTGAATATGTTAAGTTTAGCGCGTGCACCACCACTATGAAAAGCCATGATCAATGGAGCTCCGAAATTACAATTCACCATGGCAACAGCACCCGACAAAAAGACGTCTGCATACTTCCGAGTCAATACGTAACTTTGTTAATCACTATTATAATATCAGAGGTGAAAACTGGCAGAACGGTAAGTTATTTAACTAAACTTAATTTTAATGGTATCCCACGGGCAAAAAAGAAAAAAAAACAAATAACATGGCAGCAGAAAAAATTAAACTTAAAAACATAATTCAGTCAGGTAAAGCTTCAAGTGTAAAAGGTTCATGGGTGTAGGCTACATGACTTTACAAACATTTGACATATTCAATAAATATCATTCAGTGTCTATTTCAATGTGCAGTGGCTTTTTCCACATAGTCTAATGCTCTTTTCACATAGGCTAATTAAATGTTCTCTAATCCATCCAACATACATTTCTTAATTAGGGTAATGAAAAAAACATTTGACTTCTATTCAGCAAGAAGCAGAGATGGTGGTGGTTACAGCATACAGTATATCTCGCACTACCCTTCCATCTGGAATCCTTCCATTCCATGCAGTAATCAGTTTCATTTTCGGAAGGTGCAATGGTGAGAATATGTGTGTAATCAGTGCATCCATCCACACTGGTTACTTCCAGAGGTCGCAGCAAGATGTTATCAAGTGAACATCATTTAAAAGTGGTACCTCTCAAATAAATATGCATGTGGATAAAATAAAATAAAATCCCAATGTAAATGTAACTCCTCGCAAATTAATGCACTCTGGGTTTACTGAAGAAAACCTGCTCCCGACCAGGTTAGGTTCACAGAGCAAGTTACTATGGTAACTTACCGAGAGGTTTAGTTTTGTCTTTTATTGGAACCGAAAACCCTGAGTTGACCTTTTCTGGGGTTAACAGACTCTGAGTTTCCAACAAAACCCGCTTTCTGGAATACACCCCAGGTGTCAGTGTGTGTGCCCTGTTTTATTTAAAGAACAGGGATCTATCAAAGTTTGGTATTGTTTGTGGAATGTATCATGGCACAAACAAATGAGCTCTCTGAGGGCCTCAGAAAAAGAGTTGGTGTTGCTCATCAGGCTTGGAAAGGTTTCAAAACCATCTCTAAAGAGTTTGGACCCCACCAATCCACGGTCAGACAGATTGTGTACAAATGGAGGAAATTCAAGACCACTGTGGTCCACCAACAAAGAACACTCTAAAAGCAAGACGTGTAAACGTCCACTAGGTTTCAAAGGACTGCAGACTAACTTCTAAGCAGCTAAAGGCCTTTCTCACATTGGCTAATGTTAATGTTTATGAGCCCATCATCAGGAGAACACTGAACAACCATGGTGTCCATGGCAGAGTCGCAAGAAGAAAGCTACTGCTCTCCAAAAAGAAAATTGCTGCCCATCTGCAATTTGCTAAAGATCATGTGGACAAGCCAGAGGAATACTGGAGAAATGTTTTGTGGATGGATGAGACCAAAATATAACTTTTTAGTTTAAATGAGCAGCATTATGTTTGGATAAAGAAAACACTGCATTCCAGCATAAAAACCTTGTCCCATCTGTGAAACATGGTGGTGGTGGTAGAGTATCATGGTTTGGGCCTGTTTTGCTGCATCTGGTCCAGGATGGCTTGCCATCATTGATGGAACAATGAATTCTGAATTATACCAGCAAATTCTGAAGGAAAATGTCAGGACATCTGTCCGAGAAATGAATCTCAAGAGAAAGTGGGTCATGCAGCAAGACAACGACTCCAAGCACACAAGTCGTTCTACCAAAGAATGGTTAAAGAAGAACAAAGTTAATGTTTTGGAATGGCCAAGTCAAATTCCAGACCTTACTCCAATTGAAATTGTGTGGAAGGATCTGAAGCAAGCAGTTCATAGGAGGAAACCCACCACCATCACAGAGTTGAAGTGGTTCTGTACTGAGGAATGGGCTAAAATTCCTGCAAACCGTTGTGCAGGACTGATCAGCAGTTACAAGAAACCTTATTTGCAGTTATTGCTGCAAAAGGAGGTCACACCATACTGAAAGCAAAGATTCACATACTTTTGCCACTCACAAATATTTAACACCGGATCATTTTTCTCAATAAATAAATTACAAAGTATATATTTTTGTCTCCTTTGTTTGATTGGATTCACTTTGTGTACTTTCAGGATTTGTGTGAAAATCTAATTGTTTTGGGTCATATTTATGCAGAAATATAGAAAATTCTAAAGGGTTCACAAACTTTCAAGCAGCACTGTATAGATGTTATGAATTATAGTATTTATTTCAAAATTTTGAATGGGCTTTTATTTTTAATATTTTCATTTCTTTTTTTGGTTTTACACATTTTTATTAATTTTTTTATTTTAGTAATTTTAGTACTTCATTTTATAGTAGTACATTTCATAGCTTTCTTGGCAAGTAAGATTGTCATTTTATTTCCCATCGCCTCTAATATGGAACTTTTTAAAACAATGCAGATGGTCAGGGTGACCTTATTCTCAGCCTCCTTGTCTCCTTTTTCACATTCCCCTGTGTTAAGCATTGCCTGCACAACTGCCTAATGGCTTTAGCAGTTCATTTAATTACATATTCTGGCTTTATGTGGCAAATATGATGGATTATGAGTTGATTTTTTCTGACCATAAGCAGAGCTCCAGACTTTTGATTTCTGCATTGAAGAACATACGCATGTAGAGGGAACATTTTTAGGGTGTTCCTGTGAGCATTTGACTTGGCAGACTGAAGTATGTAAATGCTACAGTGGGGCAAAAAAGTATTTAGTCAGCCACCAATTGTGCAAGTTCTCCCACTTAAAAAGATGAGAGAGGCCTGTAATTTTCATCATAGGTATACCTCAACTATGAGAGACAAAATGAGAAAAGAAAATCACATTGTAGGATTTTTAAATAATTAATTGGTAAAGAAAATTACAGGCCTCTCTCATCTTTTTAAGTGGGAGAACTTGCACAATTGGTGGCTGACTAAATACTTTTTTTCCCCACTGTATATGTCAGGTCCGTTTATAATTAGCTTTGATGTGGAAAAAAAATTTGCTCTATTCTATCTGTTATCTTTTTATTATATAACTAAAAAAACAACAACAACAAAAACCCTTGCTACGTAACCCTTGTAACTTTTATGTTAATGATCGTATTGAACTTGAGCATTTAGCTGTATGGATCTGATTTGTTTGAGTCTCACCCTGAAACTTATTTTTTATCAGTCATACTCATAACAATCATATATAACCTTGAAATCCCATAGTGTTATTCCAATTGTATGTTTATTGAATGAACTGGAGTTCTTTTTAATGTGCAGGTGATTCACTGACCTTATGTCTAACCACAAAAGACATTCAAGTGCAAGATTTTATGTCTTTCTTTGACCATTACTAAATGCTTTATTTTCCATCCTAATTTAATGGCATCTTCACATTGTAAGCAAACTGACAGGAATGTTGTTGTTGTTTTTTTGTTCCCTTTCCCTAAAACATTTCCAAGAGACTGAATGCCTCCAAAATTTTACAACAAGCCCTACATAGTCATTTGGAAAACATCTCGCCAAAAAGCAGTCAGTAATGAAGCTGCCTTTGTTCTTGTGCCAACTGCAGTGTTGATCTGCTTTTACATGCATGTGAAGGACAAAGCAGTGAAGCTCAAACATTGTAATCTCCTTTTCGGATCATACACCGAGCTCGGTGTGAATTGCTGTTAATGTTTAATGTCCGTTGATTTATTGTATTGTAACTGTTGTAGACCTGCAGTGGCCAACAATAAGTGTAAAATCTTAATGGAACTTTGCCTTTCTGCCTTTCACATAATATGTGTGTGTGTGTGTGTGTGTTTATTGCTGTGGTTGCATAACTTTTTATTAGTGTTTTTTTTACTATTATTATTATCATCATCATTATAATCACTGACAGAAAATAGTGTATTTTTGCTAACTAATGGAATTAGTTAGCTGGAATTATTAAATGAAAACATTCTATATAAATTAGACATTAAGTCTAACTTACCTGTAATATTGTATATAATAATCATGCTGGTTGTTTGAGTTCTATGTATATTCATTAATTGTGTGTGTATTTCTTAGCACGGACAGGGGAGCTGATGGGAGAGTTTGGTCGGCTATATGAACAGCAGTATGCGGTCGCTCTCTTTAACAAGATGCGCTATGACATTGAGGGTGGAGGAGGCCCTCAGAATCAGCTCCTGCACAGGAAGGTAAAGTCCTTTTCTATTCCTCTTTTTCAGCTCTGCTTGTCTTTTTTAACGGTGCACATGAAACAAATGAAATCAGGGTCATTTCTCATGGGACTGATGGTCTGTGATGTCAGAGCAGATTAGATTTGGGGATAATTGCTGTTTGAACACATGTAGATTTGTTTATTTGAAATATAGTATTATCACAGTATGACCCTTTAAAGATGAGCAGTTTGTACACTTTTCATTCGTCCGTGTGTGTGTGTGTGTGTGTGTGTGTGTGTGTGTGTGTGTGTGTCTGTCTGTAGACCGAGACACTGGGTGGGCAAAGTAAACACAAATTAAGCACTTCCAGTCCTAACATGTGTCTATATAATGTATAATTAGGTACTGGGTCCTTACTGAAAATAGAGGGACAACTGTCTCTCTCTCTCTCTCCCCCTCCCTATTAAAGATGAGCGTTTTGTGCACTTTTTATTCGTGTGTGTGTGTGTGTGTGTGTGTGTGTGTGTGTGTGTGTGTGTCTGTCTGTAGACCGAGACACTGGGTGGGCAAAGTAAACACAAATTAAGCACTTCCAGTCCTAACATGTGTCTATATAATGTATAATTAGGTACTGGGTCCTTACTGAAAATAGAGGGACAACTGTCTCTCTCTCTCTCTCCCCCTCCCTATCTCTCTCCCTCTCCCTCTGCTTAAACCGGACTTTATTTGAACCACCCTTCAATTCTTGTTTCTTAGGTGCCTCTTAAGAATAAGTCCATCTTCTCAGGGGCTTTGTTCCAGTATCTAGAAGAGAACAAAAAATGGAGGAATCGTTTTCTCTTTATTCCTGACTCCTACAACATCAACTATTATGAAAACAAACAGGTAATGAGTGTATTAAAATAAAATTCTCTTTCGCTCCTCAGTAGTAGTAGACCAATACATCAGCCAAGCTAATCTGTTAATCTTAAACTTTTGGGCCAAATTAAAATGGCGCTTATCTTAAAGGCACCATGAACAGTTTGATGATTCCAGAAGTTTAAATAAATAAATGCATTTATTTAATTATTTTTAAAATATATTTTTATTTGTTTAGTCATTCATTCATTTTAAATAATACTGCTTCTTTATACTCTTATCTGTTTCTAATTTAGGCCCATGACAGAGGGCTGCATCCTAAAGGCAACATTAACTGTGCTGGCTACAGGGTCCTGACCTCTATGGAGGAATATCTCGAACTCCTTAACACCAGCCTACCAGGTCAGTCTAAAGGAGTGAGAGGAAAATGAAAAAGAAAGATGGGAAAACCTCAGGGAGGAAGCGAATTCTTAAAACATTTTCCCAAAGTAAAGTTAAACTCTATAAAACTAAGCAAAAGTTACTGGCTTACCGGTTTTACTGAGGTCATGTCATCATGGCAGCGAAGTTGAAAGAATAGATGACTTTACAGTTAAAGGGTTAGTTCACCCAAAAATGAAAATTAGCTTGTGTTTTACTTACCCTCGAAGCATCCTAGGTGTATATGACTTTCTTCTTTCAGACGAATCCAGTCGGAGTTATATTAAATTGGCCTGGCTATTCCAAGCTCTATCATTGCAGTCAGCGGGTTGCAGTTGAACAGTACACAAGTCGTCAAATAAAGTTTGTGCATTCATAATAAAATGTGCCGCAGACGGCTCCGGGGGATGAATAAAGGCCCCTGTAGCGAATCCATGTGTTTTTGTAAGAAAAATATCCATATTTCAAATGTAATAAACTCTTTTCTCTCACTTCCATTATCTGTCATACGAGGATCCGTTCCGGATGAAGGCGTATGACTTATGACACCTCTGAGATATGCTAGTCTCGCGAGTTTGTTTAATAGGAGCAAAGGAAGCAAAGTTTCCTTACTTTAGCAAAGGAAAACCAGTCTCCTCTTGGTTTATATCGAAATCCTCCGACATTTTTCTTTGCAAATCTTTGGTTTGTACTTCTAATTCGTGACCGGCATTTTGTATTCTTCTCTCTCCGCATTCATCATTAATCACGCAACACCGCGCATCTTACGTCATCCGTCGGAACTGCTTCAATGGATGACAGTCAGCGGAAGTGAGAGAAAAGTGTTTATTACGTTTGAAATATGGATATTTTTCTTACAAAAACACATGGATTCGCTACAGGGGTCCTTTATTCATTCCTCGGAGCCATCTGCGGCACGTTTTATTATGAATGCGCAAGCTTTATTTGACGACTTGAGGACTGTTCAACTGCAACACCCGCTAACTGCAATAATAGAGCTTGGAATAGCCAGGACCATTTTTAATATAACTCTGACTGGATTCGTCTGAAAGAAGAAAGTCTTATACACCTAGGATGCTACAGCATGAGGGTGAGTAAAACAAGCTAATTTTCATTTTTGGGTGAACTAACCCTTTAAGGTCAGTAAACGATTCAATCACAAGACTTATGTGAACAACATGTATGCTCATGTGTAAGTCATGTGGTAATGACATTTAAAACCGTATGTATTTATTACCTGTGCCTTGCTATAACAACTAAAAACATTTTTTTGTATTGAACTTGCAGCCTTTGAAATAAATGTAGAGTTGAGCCAGAGTCTAGATAAGAAATGATGAAATGGAGTGTAAAGTAATGGGCTGTGATCTTTGTATGTTGTGCAGCTCTAGTCATTACTATGGAGATCTTCTCATAAGGCCACTTTTAATAGAATATTGAATCATGCAACACACGTTTTGCAGGTGTAAAAGCTAAAGTTGGCAGTTCTTCATTCCTGAAATGTGCGACACAGTTTCCCCTCATTCTCTGGCATCCTTATGCTCGTCACTATTATTTCTGCATGGTGACGGAGAAGGAGCAGCAAAAGTGGAACGCTGTCTTTCAAGACTGCGTCCGTCACACCAACAATGGTGAGTCTTAACCCTGCTCTTAAAAACAGCCGTCCTAGTGTCCACTTTCTCCTCTGTCTCTTTAATACCCAGACACATATTTATGACTCATTACTTCAGGTAATCAGCTTTCATTATGGTTGTTGATGTTCATGAGGATAAGCCGGTTTCAGACTTGCTAGAATAACTGATGTGTTATTTCATAAATCAGCTCTTTTGGACATCACTTTATCAAAAAGGAAACTCGAGCGGAACGCTTGGCACGGTTGATGATGGTATTCATTTGGCTTGTTTGATAATAGAAAGAATGTTACCGCTCAAGGCTGTAAAAAGAGTCGGATGAGATCATGTGGAAAACTATAGATGTGCTGTTATTCATTCTCTGTGTGTGAGCTGTATGACTGTTTTATTTTGTAGAGCTTCTGTAACTTTATATAATTTGCAGAAATTATAGCATTTCACTATAAATGTCACTTTCTGTGTTTTGTATGTGCCAATTAAATAAAATGTGATTTGAGCAGACATTTTATTTGTTGCATTAGTCTAGTCAAAGTTGATTTCCAGGCTAGACATGCATGTATTTTGCACAAAAAAAAACATATATTTTCTTTTCGATTTAAGTTTACAGATCTTGGGCAAGTATTTGCTCATGTGCATAATATAGTTACACTGTGCCTAGGGCTATCAGAAAGTTCATTGTTACTGTGAGAGTTTTGCTCTTTCACAGTGATGTCACTGCTAGATTACTTGATATGTTGTTTGTCAGGACACTCAAACAAGAGGATACTTGTCTGTTGAAGCGTATGTTAAGATTGTCCCAACTTATTATGGTTATGTCACCTGCTTGGTGGGCCCTTCATATGATTTTGCTTGATACTAAACACTCTTGAAAAATATCCTGTTAAATGTATGGTAAAAAAATGGCAGCTGTGAGTATTAGAAATTAACCAAATAAATAAATAGACGCAATACTGTGCCAAAGTTTTCACTATTGTGGGATGGCATTGGTGCCTTTATATTACAACTTGTAACCATTCATTTATTTAAGTGATCTTAATATACCAAGCTAATTGAACTACTAAAATCAGCTTTTTATCTTTCAAACGTACCAATAACCACCATGACAATACAAGTGGTACAAAGCCTCATGATGAAAAGGCGTCATAAATGGCCTGTCCATAAAACATGACCAAAGTTACATTGGCCACCATCAGGGTGTAACACACATGACACTAAAATAATGCAATAAACATAACTAAAAAATGGAACACAAAACACTGTAATGTACATTACTAATGAGAAAAATAAGAAACAAAATGATTTATACAAAATATAATCATATGTGATGTCGTACAGGAACTTCTGGAAATTTAAAATCACTGTTTTCACCGTAAAAAAAAAAAAAAAAGGTAATTAAGTTTTACTTCCACAGACGATAAATTAAACGGTAGTTTACAGTAAAAGTACATGTAATGGGATTGTTAAAGCATTTCGATTTTTTTCGCTGAATATGGTTAAGTAACTTGGTTTGTTAGTTTAGTCTTTTTCTGTAAAAAAATTAAAAACTTTTTTTGCAGTGTAGGGGGGTTTTCAAAGGAAGCGGTGTTGAGGGGGTCCCATTATGGCCTTTTATGGTATATAGCCTACTCTGTGGGCATGGGAGAGAGAAGTCTGATGGTATTGACACTATTTGATGTGATAGAAATTCAGTCTAATTATGCTTAAGGTATTCTAGTTGTTGGGTGTGAGGTACTCTATGTCTCATAGACGTCTTATGATGGCTGCTAGAACTGTTTTCTCTCCGCTGTAGTCCAGATTCCAGAGTGGTCACAGCTGGGGCTGTCAACCCATAATTCAGTTTGGATGGGAGGCTGCAGAGAGGGAATGCACACTTGCGGCGAGGACAGTAATGTCCCCTTGGGTATTAAGGCGGCCATCTAAAAGTGTGTTATAGTTAGCCAAATCCCTGCTGCGTGTAGTATGTTCTGAATGCAAGCACATCTGCAGAGACTTTTTCCCCAAATAAGGGATGGTTCAGTTCTGGTTAAGTTCTTTGCTATTCATTAGTCTGTTTAAGATGTTCCCTGACATATTTAAAATATGTTAGACTGTCATTTTCTATTCTCGCTGTTTTGAAGGTTAGCTGTTAATGGAGACTGCGCTTCTAGAGAGGTGACAGTGCCTATCTTGACAATATAATAATGAGGATTCTGGGGTTTTTTCTCTCTGTTCGTCACAGACAATAATAGGAGTGGATAAGTGTTTTTCTTCTTTGGCTTAAAATGAAGCATGCAGTAAACTGTAGTGCTTAATTTCTGGAATTTATCTGCTTTTAACAGCAGAGCAAACACTCTTTGTAGTGTTATGTAACTTTTGTCTGATTCATCGGTTGAAAATATGTTGTTTCTGTGATTTATGTACCTGGTCACCATGACAGTTTAAGGCAAACCCTGCAGAAGGAGTGTAGGTTTGAGTGATTCGTAATAGGCTGTTATTCATAATTTGACCACTGATATAATTGCCCTTCCCTTTTACCTGTCAAAATCACACATTCATTATGTAATTACTGTAATTATGTTAAGTACTGTCCTGGTACAGCATCATTATTTGTGAGCTTGTGGATGACATAGTTTCCTGCAACACTTTGAACATTGCTGTTAAATCTACTTTGCCACACCAAAAATAATCTTATTTAATGCGAGTTGTGTATGTGAGTTTGCAGTTCAAATTAAATGTGACAAGATGATGACAAGAAATCATGTCTTTTTACTGAGTTTATTAAAAAAAATGTAGTTAAGAAGACTAATGTCTCTTTCTTTCTTTGATATTAGATGACTCCGACAGAAGTCCTTTATTTCATAGGGTACTGTGAATTTATTTGCCACAACATCTGCTGAAAATTAAAGCATCTAAACTGAAAACATGAGCCAGACACATGTCTTCGATATGGTTGTGTCAGAACTTTGTTGGTTCAAATTGCACTTCTGCATAAAGGGCTAAATGTGATGTGTGACTTAATATAATAAATTGTTTAAAACAGCTCATCTGTGTCCTAAAATGTGTCCGGACACTAGGATCCAGGAACATGCAGTGATCCAATAGGATGGTGTTATTCTGTGACTGGATGCCCAGAGGAGTAAACCCAAGCGTGCATGAACCGAGTTAAATCAGGACTGGATCCTGACAAGTCGCAGCATGTTTTTGGAAGTGCATCATTTACATGTACAATGTTTAAGATCACTTAATCATAAGGCTGTTCGAGCAACCAATGCATTTCTACTGTAGTATACTAGACTTTCTTTGCTGTAAGTATCCTGGCTTGTTGAGTTCTGTAGCCCCGTGCTGTCATGAGCAAAAATGGTGGCCCAGTAAAGTCTGGAATGCAACAGCAATTCATTTAACCATGGTATCCATGTTTTGTTTGTGATTTTTGGCTTGGGTGAGAGAGTCTTTAAAGGAATAGTTCACCCTAAAATTTACTTAACCTCAGGCTGTCCAAAATGTAGATGAGCTTGTTTCTTCATCGAAACCGATTTGGAGAAATTTGGCACTATATCACTTGTTCATCATTGGATCCTCTAGACCTCTGCAGTGAATGGGTACCGTCAGAATGAGTGCTGATTAAAACTTGATTGTTATAATCAACTTTGATTTTAACTTCAAACCATTGCTTCTGACTAAAATACATCCATAATATTGCTTTCTCTATTGAAAAAGTTGTCTCATCTGAAATAGTCACAGATCGAGCACCAAAAGAGTTTTGAACAAATATGTCTGTGGATTTGGATGTGAGAGCACAACAGGGGAGGGACTTTTTTACTGGAGGAAGTGTTATTATGGATTATAGACTGGCCATAAGTGACGGCTTAAAGTTAAACTCCTTAATGATGGATTTGTTTCTTACAAACACACCGCTTTTCACTTCACAAAGACGTTAATTGATTGACTGAAGTCATGTGGATTATTGTGATGTTTTTATCAGCTGTTTGGACTCTCATTCTGATGGCACCCATTCACTACAGAGGAACTATTTATGAGCAAGTGATGGAATGCTAAATTTCTCCAAATCTGTTCGATGAAGAAGCAAAATAATTTACAATTTGGATTGCCTGAGGGTGGATACATTTTCAGACAGTTTTCTTTTTTGGGTGAACTATTCTTTTAATGTCTAAAGAGGTGCAAAACGGCTTCTGCGCAGGTCACAAATCTTACTTTGGTGAAAATTCTGTTATTTATGGTCATGAGATGGCCTACACAAAGTTGCTAGACTGTTTTCCAAGTCCCACAGAGCTTTATGATGTGTATGGCTCATGTCAGTATTGGGAGAACGTTTTATTAGGCAACTGAACAGGTTTACAGGCATGTTAATGAATTAAGTCCAGGTGGTTTAAAACCTCTCCAGTGTCCAGACACAAAGTTGCTCTTTGAAAGCCTATTGAATGTCATTGTAAAGGCCTGAGATTGACAACCTGACAGAAACTACACAAATATGTAGAAATAGTCAGAACAATTTGAATTCCTGTACACTTAAAAACAAGTATTTGTTACATAGTTACATTATGACTGAAAGGGATAAAAATGTGAAACCTCAAAACTTAGCCCTGGTGTTATCTTACCATGTCTCATGTTGTGCAAGGTATTTATCCGCTCATTGGTGTCATAGGGTTATTAGGGCATGGTGTGAAGCGAGGATTTTTTTTTTTCTTCACCGAAGATCCTCATTTTTCTGTCATTGTACTTTGATCATCTGGTGTTTTTGAACTGACTTGAGATCAGTTGTTTTTACGGTGACCGCGCCAGAATAAGCGACCCGTTAAGTTTGTTCTCTAGTTTTTGCATAACAGTTCTCGGGCTCTCCCCAGATGTTCATAAATTTATTTTTTGTTTTGTTTTTATTCTATTCTATTCTGTTCTGTTCTATCAGAATAAGTGACCCATAACACTTGTCTTGTTTTTGTGTAACACCTCTCCAGTGCTTCCCATGTATTCAAGAATATATTTACTGTGTGCATTTATTTTATTATTTTACTTTACTTTTACTTTATTTGACTAAGCCAGAATGAACGACCGCTCTCCCCAGATGTTCATAAATTTATTTTTTGTTTTGTTTTTATTCTATTCTATTCTGTTCTGTTCTATCAGAATAAGTGACCCATAACACTTGTCTTGTTTTTGTGTAACACCTCTCCAGTGCTTCCCATGTGTTCAAGAATATATTTACTGTGTGCATTTATTTTATTATTTTACTTTACTTTTACTTTATTTGACTAAGCCAGAATGAACGACCCATAACTCTTGTTTTCTCCTAACAATCTCTGGTTCTCTCCGCACGTGTTCATAAATACGCTTGCCCATGTGTGCATGCACTCACAAAAGCATCAAGCTGTGCTGATGTGGAGTGCTGGACTTCCTGCTTGTTCTCCTCCAGCCCCCCACAACCAGCCTGCTTGAACTTCCTCTCTGTGTGAGGGTTCAGGCACTCATGCGTGCATACTGTATGTACAGGAGGCTTTTACAATATGTGGGCTTTTAGAATGTCATCATAACTGACATACAGATGTGAAGCAGATTGTCAGAGTACTGAACTCGAGACAACTTGTCTTCAAATTGTGTTCGATTCGCACATCAGCTTGATCATTCCGCTATGACCCTATGAATGTAACCGGCATTGTATAGGGAATTACCATGGTAACTGATGAGGCAATGCTTCCTGTTTGCCACGGTGACCAAAGCAGATTGAAGTCTGTCTTTGGTTTGATGGAATAATCTGATTGTGAGACGTGCATGTGGGTGTGTATATATAAAGATGACCTTCTTTTTTCACTTCTCTAAATGGAAAGGAACTGTGTCATGATATGATGACATTAGAAATTAATATCTAATTGTGTTTGCTGCTTGATTATTTGTTAAAAATAAAGTTTTGTTACTTGCTTGCATATGTTGACTATAATGATGATGATAAAGTCCTGTTCTCTTGCTCAGGACTGCCTGAGGAATGTAAAGTTCAGACCCCCACGTTCACAGATGCAGTGCGACTCTATCGGCAGACCCATGGTCACTATGGAACCTGGGACATGATGTGTGGGATGCCTCCACAGGTAGGAACTGTGTCATGATATGATGACATTAGAAATTAATATCTAATTGTGTTTACTGCTTGATTATTTGTTAAAAATAAAGTTTTGTTACTTGCTTGCATATGTTGACTATAATGATGATGATAAAGTCATGTTCTCTTGCTCAGGACTGCCTGAGGAATGTAAAGTTCAGACCCCCACGTTCACAGATGCAGTGCGACTCTATCGGCAGACCCATGGTCACTATGGAACCTGGGACATGATGTGTGGGATGCCTCCACAGGTAAAACACACACATATACTTATGTATCTTGGGCAGCTCTTGTTAGATTCTTTTTTGTCTAGAATTGGAATTCTCAACCTGGTTCTTAAAGGGGTCATATGATGTTGCTAAAAAGAACATTATTTGGTGTAATGAAATGTTTATGCGGTTTAAGGTTCAAAAAACACATTATTTTCCACATACTGTACATTATTGTTTCTCCTCTATGCCCCGCCTTTCTGAAACGCGTTGATTTTTACAAAGCTCATCAGTCTGAAAAGCGAGGTGTGCTGTGATTTGGCCAGCTATCTAGTGCGTTATGATTGGCCAAATACCTCAAGCGTGTGACGGAAATGTTACGCCCCTACTATACTGTGATGATGCCCTGTCAGGCCGGAGCAACGATTCAAAAACATGAAACCCCATTATAAACAAGGCATTCGTTGCATCCAGTGGGGACATAATTATGGATTATAATGACTTATACTGTCTTTTTATGCATTGCATCGCGCAGCATAAACACAAAACCATGTCTGCATTTGTGATCGGAGAAATGACAAACAACAAGCCCTACTCTACACTGCCCAAAAAAGGAGAAATGACAAACAGCAAGTGCTACTCTACACTGCCCAAAACTCGCGTTTGAATCATCAGTGGCAAATCCTTTAAATATAAAAAAAGTACTTACAGTCTGTGAGTCAGAACAGCCAGCATTGTAATCTACTCTCCCAGGATCAGGAAACAGACCTCCATAAAATGTGCTGCACACATCTGAATATTTGGGTTGGAGTGTTCTGGAACAGTGTTGTAAATACAACTTAACCACTGATTTCTAGTCGTGCCCATTTTTGGAAGGCAAAAAAAACAAAGTAGTTTCGCTTTCCCAACGAAACACAGTCACACACAGCGGGCTAGAGTGAGCGGAGGCCGGTGGGCTTGAGAATTGCGCGGGCTTGCGGCAACCACATGTGACGACCCCGGGCCGATCCGGCGATCCACAGCGCGAAGTTGATGTATTTCCTCAGCGACCAGCACGGATCAGCTCCAGGCATGATGAAGCGATATCGTCCTCTTTTGGAAGACCAAACAAAGAAGTTTCGCTTTGTTTGGTCACAAACACACAGCGCCTTCACGACATGGCGGCGGCGGCGGCGGCGGCGGCGGCGGCGGCAGTAGGCAACAATACTACAGCGAGAATAAAAGTTACGTCGTCTTTCTTTGCGTGAACATTTGGGAGGCGTTATGCAAATCTTCCCACATCGGGACATAGACATGTGGGGGCGTGTTAGAACGAGCCGTTTTAGGTAGGCGTGGCTGACTCTTAACTTTTATAAAGAATATATCTTTGGATTTGAGACTTTACAGATCTTCTTTACGCACCAAGAGCTTATAACACTCCAAAGAGAAAGGAAAAATTGAAATCGCATCATATGCGAAAATAAAATAAAAGTACTTAGAAGATATTTATTTATTACAAAAAATTAAAAATATATATATATTATAGTTTATATATATATATATAAATAAATAGATTAAACTTTATTTTTTATTCTTCACAAATAAATGCACATTTTTACCAAGGATTTTAGGACATATGTTAAACAGTGCTCAAAAAATAATTCAGTTTATAGAAATCTCCTGTGATACCTGTTCTATAGTGACCCTACACCAAGGTTGAGAACAGTACGATAAATCTACAGTAAATAATTTTTTTGGTGTTGTTTGTTGGCACTGCGTAGGGGGGTGAAAGGAAGTCACAGTAATTGTTTGGGTTATAATAGAATACAGATGAAGGTCAGAGCTAAATTGATTCACAGGAAGTTAACCCGTTTCAAATCCTGGTGTCCCTGTAGAAAAATTGTGTGGTGTCAGAAAAAAGAGAAGATGGTGTTTCTGGTAGGGTGGGTTTTATAGGTATCCATCATCTATACTTCATAAAATATTGCTCAGTCATTGCAAATAAAATGCTAGATTAACATTCATGCAAACAACACAATAAGTGAAGAACTAAAATATAGATATTTTTAGTGGAATCTGACCTTGATATATGGGGAAATCATTGTGAATTGGAACTCTTAACAATTTAATAATTTATACTTTTGTTATACAGTGGCTAATTAACCAGCTTTATAAGATAATCTGATAAAAAAAAAAAAAGTATATTGGAAGTATAAAGCTAAAAAATATAGCATGTCAGTATTTAATCAGTAATCTTCTTGGCAGCATCACACTAGTATTATTTTCCTTCTTAGCGGAGTTCTTTAATGCATTGTTTTCTCTCTGGAACGAGAACCAGATAAAAAGAGAAACATCATGTGAAAGTCGTAGGAGTGTGTCCTCTAGTAACTTGTGTCTCAAACCATGTTGACAATATTTCTAGTTGAATAAAAGAGGTTAAGCTTGCATAGATGAGTAACAAAAGTCCTGTAGACATTGAAAGGATGTCACATTAACTAGTTTAATGATATATGATCAGTGTCCAGAGACAAGTCTGGCAATAGTAAAATTGTAATGTGCCACAAGCATGCCAGGTTTCCTGTTATATCTTAAAATCATGATGAGAATGAGTTAACGTACCCTCCAGGCCTATATGATCCTGATATGTCTCTCAAACACATGCAGTGTATTAGAACTTAGATTTTTCAGAATAAATGTTAATTTTAATAAAGGCACATGTTAAAGTTCTTTCATCACACCCACTCGGTTTTATGATTGTCTTCCCAGATCCTCGCCAACCTTGTCATGGAAACCCTCCTCCCTGAGATGAGAGACCTCATCACTCCCAAACTGAAGGGCAAGATGCATGAAAGACAGAGGAATTGGATGCTGGTACTTCACACATTTTATATGTGCTAGTCCTGCATGGAATCTGCAAGTTGTTTTTTTTATTTTTTTATTACTATTTTATTTTACAACAGAGTATAATATGTGGGTCAGAGCTTTACCTGTACCATGTGGCGTAGCAACAATACTACAGCGAGAATAAAAGTTACGTCGTCTTTCTTTGCGTGAACATTTGGGAGGCGTTATGCAAATCTTCCCACATCGGGACATAGACATGTGGGGGCGTGTTAGAACGAGCCGTTTTAGGTAGGCGTGGCTGACTCTTAACTTTTATAAAGAATATATCTTTGGATTTGAGACTTTACAGATCTTCTTTACGCACCAAGAGCTTATAACACTCCAAAGAGAAAGGAAAAATTGAAATCGCATCATATGCGAAAATAAAATAAAAGTACTTAGAAGATATTTATTTATTACAAAAAATTAAAAATATATATATATTATAGTTTATATATATATATATAAATAAATAGATTAAACTTTATTTTTTATTCTTCACAAATAAATGCACATTTTTACCAAGGATTTTAGGACATATGTTAAACAGTGCTCAAAAAATAATTCAGTTTATAGAAATCTCCTGTGATACCTGTTCTATAGTGACCCTACACCAAGGTTGAGAACAGTACGATAAATCTACAGTAAATAATTTTTTTGGTGTTGTTTGTTGGCACTGCGTAGGGGGGTGAAAGGAAGTCACAGTAATTGTTTGGGTTATAATAGAATACAGATGAAGGTCAGAGCTAAATTGATTCACAGGAAGTTAACCCGTTTCAAATCCTGGTGTCCCTGTAGAAAAATTGTGTGGTGTCAGAAAAAAGAGAAGATGGTGTTTCTGGTAGGGTGGGTTTTATAGGTATCCATCATCTATACTTCATAAAATATTGCTCAGTCATTGCAAATAAAATGCTAGATTAACATTCATGCAAACAACACAATAAGTGAAGAACTAAAATATAGATATTTTTAGTGGAATCTGACCTTGATATATGGGGAAATCATTGTGAATTGGAACTCTTAACAATTTAATAATTTATACTTTTTAAAGATTGACTTTTTAAAGTAGTTTTATCTATGAAATGACAATGAATACAACTTTGAATTCATGTAATTGAATATTTGTATTTATTAGTAACAGCACATACGTTATCTTAACCTTTTTAATTGTATCCTGCTCAAATACTTTTGCATTTTTATTGTATTATCTTTTGGAAAAATAAATTGATATCTCTGAGAGTCTGCATATTTTTGTCTTTAAGCAGTTGTTTGCTGAATAGTATTTGAAATTGCTATATTTACATGACTTAAAGAGGTCATGAACTGAGAAATCAACTGAGTACTATAAAAACATCCTGTACGTTTCAGAACTCAAAACTTTTTCGTTAGTCTAACAGCTTATATTGAAGCCAAAAAAAGCAGTTCATGACCCTTTTAAAGTGAAAGTGTGGCTTGGTGTATCTGTCACACCAGCAGGCGGCAGCTCGTTCTGTTACCACGATGAACATTCGGCAGTGATGATTTTAATTCGTGATTGATTTTTTATTTTTTTTATATATATTATTTCAATATTTAGTTATATGAGTTACATAGATACGATACGTGACATTTGAACATTTTGCCCCTAATTATACATATGAACTCCAACACCCGCGTTCGGCGTTATCCTCCCACAGCGTTATTATCCCGAACACACACCTGTTAAAGTAATATTTCTTTATTTTAGAGGGGACCG